TCGCGGTTTTGGACTCCTTCAAGGATTGTGCCTAACAGCCGAAGTCGGCTTGGAGCAACATCCCTAGATCTGGTTCTTGTGAGACGGTGTTCAATATGATGTTTCTAAGCTTATGTTCTTACGTGGGCTTGTCGCGGAAATGTACGGTTTTGCACTTGTCCGTATTAAATGGTAGTACGTTTGCCATTGACCATTCAAAAGCGCTGTCTAAGTCTCGTTACAATATATGGTGATCTTCCTGACATTCCACTGCCCGCTATATCTTAATGTCATCCGTAAAAAGCAGGAAAGTTGACTTTATGACTCCCGCATGGTCGTTAATAAAGAACAAGAATAACCGCGGACCCAACACTGACCCAGGTGGAACACCGCAGTCCACGCCAATTGGATTGGAAAATGAACCTCAAACTCAGTCCTGAAGGCGCCGTTGAGAGGAGTAGTTTCCGATCCATTCAAGGACAGGTTTCCAATTCCTTATGCTTGCAGTTTTTAGGGAAGGATGCGGTGATCTATGCGGTTGAATGCTTTGGAAAAAGTCTGTGGCAACATGAGGAAATCAGATAAAATAACTATGGAACTTATATCTGGTCATTTACTAAACACCTAATAAGAAAATTGTCACCAAGAACTATGGGGACTGTGCCAGCAAATCTAGCTCGATCTGCTTCAGCTGTGAAGACCAAGGCATTTATACTGCTGTACAATGTGATTCTTGGTAATGCAATTGGTCATCTACTCACATTAATATTACAGCACAGTTACACGCGGGGCCTTAGTAACAAAGAACTTACCTTGATTACACCACTACGCAGCAACATTACGCAGTCGAGTTTCGCTATAATCAGAAAGGCAGCTGTGTGCAATCGGTCCCTAGTCACAATCGGGTCGGATAAACTTGTGAAATGATTTCGACGTTAGCTGTGAAGCTACTTTCTCCTGGACACGATTAGGGGGAAAACCTGTTGCTCCCTTTAATGAATTACGAGATAACGTCTCATGGGTGAAATATCATAACTTTTCGCAACCTAACTAGAACATAGTATTTACAATATGCTTATAGTACATCAGCACCTTCTTACATCGTGTAAAGTACCAAGCATGCCCACATATAGGTTGGAAGTAACACATAACTTTACCATTGTAACTTCATATGGAACATACAAATGATTATTACTATCTGTAGACATTTATGAATTGTGTTGAAATGGAACCAACTTCTCACTTGATGCGAAATATACCTATTGTTAATAATATAAATGTACCACTTGGTTTGAAAGCATGTTGTGCGGGTGTCGGTAGATCTTTTGGTTAATTCAGTCGCTTCACCATGTTCTCTGGAATGTTTGGCCTCAAGATTTATCAAACAAAATGGTCTGTATTTGTCCAATTTGCTGGGGTCACAGACTTTCGGATTTGGCTTCAGCAATTCGCACTTTCAACCACTGGACAATAAACCTTTGGACTGTGATCTGTTGAGCAGGCAAGTCACGGCAAGCGAGATGATGGCTGATAAGGACTTGTAAATCAGTCAGAGAAGCCCGTCAGCTCCAGTAAACTTAGTGTGTTAGTTAGTATGTGTAGTTAGTGTGTTGTTAGTATCTTCCCCATGCTGAGGTTGATGTTGCATTATTGATGCTTCTTCACCGCAGTTGGGCTAAACCAACTTACACTTAAACTAGGTATCTTTAAGCTGCATAAATTTCATTCCACTTTATTTGGTTTATTTTGCCTATCTGAATAATCTTCTATTAGCTGGCCACGTTGCTTACGCTAATTGCGCTTATCTTCTTTAACTTTGTTGCGTTTGCAGCATTTTTGACTAACTTGTGGACATTTTTTCCCTATCGCGGATTCATTGCTAACCAACGTACTTCATATGCTAATTTAGCGAAAAGTTATACCACCGTATCTGTATGCATTATTGGATTTTTTAATTTCATTTTGTTGTTTCAAGTGATTGGCTGTTGTTTGTTATCCCCGGTTTGGATGCGCTTGATGTGCATGTTGACAAGGTGCCTACCCGTCTATCACCCACTACCTCGTTCATACTGGCTCCAGGAGACAGTTGGTCGTTGTTGGAGGGGACGGGGTGTATGGTCCTTTTGGCCGTGTTAGGATCAAAGAGTGGTTCCATGCACTTTGTGTGGAGCGGACTACGGTCCAGCCACCGTCTTGTGTGCGCTTGATTCCCAAATACAGTGTGCTTGTGTTTGCCTGTGAAGGAGTGTGGGCCGGCTCCGTTGATGAAACGTGGCTCCCATCCACATGCCTCCCGGTCTTATTCCTTCGGGCTTACACTGGATATGGGGTGTGTGGTTGGAGCTGTGGGTGGTGCAGCGCAAGCCACCCATGGTCCCTCTGTAGGCGCAGGCGTCCTGTGGCTGGCCACAGTGATAGGCCAATCCGAAACCGGATGCCACCAACCTTCTGACACTAGTCTTCAATTGTCCCACTGCCTGCGTCACCGCCGAGCCAGTTTAACACATACTTTGTCCAACCTACGTCCGTTGATTGGTCTGAGTATTTTAGATGCAGTGGCACATTCTGAGAACAAAGCTGTCGCTCCGTTTTTCATAACCGTACAACCGTCTTCTACGGATGCAGATTTTGGCAGAGACCAATGCCCTTGACTCTCGTCTCCCGTTGGGCGATTGAAGTCAGCTTTCCAGTAGCTGTAAACTGGCTCCGGCAAACGGAAATACATCAAATGCGGCTTCATGATGTTTATAAGCAGCGAGTGATTTTTTGTTGCTTGGGGCTCCAGGATCTACTATCATACAAATGCTCATGAGAGTGTCATTTTGAAGTAGTTGTTGTGTACCTGGATTGCAATGTGTAAACCCAATGTGGACTGTGATTTTCGAAGTGAACCTGGATTATTTCGACCACTAGAACGGCAGCTGACAATAGAAAATTTTGTGGTGCCCACCGGAAAATGCTGCGTGTTCACTGCACGTTTATGTAGAGAGGAGTTGAGAGCAGTGTTACAGCTGTCGGCTCGTATATGCTTTGCACGGAATCATTTTCCTGAACCGAATCCGCGAACTTTGCCTAGACTTAACAACCTATGGGCATGAATTTTGTTTCAGCTCAGCGTATTCGAGGACAGTTGAAATCATATATGATTGGGAAATGTGGACGAATCACGAGGATTTGAGGATGCGGCAGTCAACCCAAACATTGCCCAGGAGAGTTTGATAAACTGCCATTAAGAGCAGGTGCATGTGCTCCCAGCGATTCTGGCAGCCCAGTTGCTAACATGCGACATCATCTTTACGGCAGGAGCACACTAGACTCCCACACAGAGAAGACCGGTTGTACACAATGTGCCACGGTGGACAATGTCTAACGTATCACGGCGGAATCACCAGTAACTGCGGAGCTCGATTTCTCGAGCGAGTCCCATCACCACTTTGCGATCCGTTGAAACGAAAAGACAGTGTTCATCGCGCTTCTTATAAGACTGCAAATATTGGTAAAGGCCACACACAGGCGGCAGCAGAAACCACCGAGCGTGCCTGAAGTGTAGACAACTTGGCGTCATGTTTTGTGGAATATTGGAAAACAACATAGGACTTAAAATAGCGAGATATGTTGTCGTTTCACCAATACGTCTTTTCAGCTCAAGGCTGCTAAACCTAAGTCGTTAAATCTTCACCAGACCTAAACTTGTACGCACGTGTCTTTAAATCTTTTAGTCAAACAAGATCAGACTTAGTTTAGCTTATCCACAAATCGTGACGGTCACAAGCTGAGATTGTTCAAGTCAAGCCAAGAAAGAGCTTTTTGCACCCAGAAGTAGTGAACATTCGGCCTTAACACACTCCTTTTCTAAGGCGGGTTACTTACCTCCGTTACAACCCTTCCTCACCAACGTCTAGGAGTCTAACAGATGCAGTTCGTAACATTTTGACCTCATGGTCTTATCGTACATGAGGAGTTGGCTCAGTGCATTTAGGAGCGTATAATATTACGAGCATTAAACCACTCTTATTGGCCAAGTTTTTTCTACAGGGCGAGGGAATTCCCCAGCCTCACGAAGTACGGTCAACCGCTGGCTTAGAGCTGTTGAAGATTTTTCATTTTTCTGATTTTTCTAGTGTGAATTCCACGGGGCATCAGTATTCAGGCTTTCATATACTGTGACATCCGTACCCATAGAACAGCAAAATGTTTGTGTAAAGTGGAATGGAGGTACTCTCAATGGCGAAAATTTGATGCAGGTGATTTGGCACAGGAAGAGCAGGATGGCTGATCTGTAACCTGGTGGAACTTCGGTCAAACGTGTTAGGCCGAAAGCTCGCATCTGCCCGGATAGGGACTACTATGCCTACACCATGGTTTAACGCCTTTCGCCTATCGTTTATGGCTGCGTCTCCTTTCAACCAGTCATACACAAATTCTGGACAAAATCGTGCTGTATTACACGGTGATGATGTTGAAAATGCACAAATTATTGACCGATGCGTGAAGGATCAAAACTAACGCGGTGCATGACACATGAATACTACGAGACCAAGTTGAAGGTCGTTTGTGAACAAAAGGGTAGTATTTGATAGTCGGGTTTTCGGAGTACACACCGTGTGTCTTTCATCGTGACAGTCAACAACAATTGTGGCTTCGAACGGCTTTCAGTACAACCTGAACAATTCCGAGCACTGGGATGGTATCTGACCCAAGTGGACTGGTTCGGAGTTTCTATCTGTCCTAACCCTTGAGCTAATTTTTATGCACAGTTAAATCCAACAGAAAAATAATCTTGTCCGCTACTTCTGGAAAGAATCAAAGGAGGCCACTAATCGCAGTTCAGAAAGTAAATTTTACCACCTTATCAAACTTAATCGGCTGACGCTAAGAATTATCTGCACAAATCATTCAGCTACTTAAAGTATGTTACTAACTTGTAGAGGTATCAACCGATTTGCGCGCAATTACCAACTATCTAATAGTGACCAGGAAATTCGTCCTAATTTGAATTAGAGATCAAGTGGTGGATGTTTGGTATGTATGGTTTTAATTATGAAATCAGTAGAACAACAATTTCTATCAGTGTATTGGCCACATATTTTATTCACGGGAGGTAGTTGGAGGCCGTAGAAAAAATGATTTTCAAAAGCTTCTCTATGGCATCTTTGTTTTCCGGTTTATTTAGAACAGACTTGAAAAACTCGATGAAGATTGACTCTCCACTCTAGTTGTAAGAGACATAATATTTATTGTCGTTGTAAAATAAACCCACCATGAATTGATCCTTGGTCACATTTCGTGTCACGTGGTTTTCTCCATTTTCTTCTACTGCCTTTTTAAACTGCGCATCGTCAGCGGCTGCTTTCACCATCTTCACAATATCATCAATTAATGTTCTTCCGTAGTACTTGATTCCTTCAGACTGGACGACATTGGTTATATCTAGGCCTTGTAGCCGAGAGAACAGATTGATATGCTGTGGATAGGCAGTGAAGAGCCTGACAAAAAGCGGAAATTTTTGTAATGCGGAAACAAGAGTGTGAAAAGCGTATTTGTAAAGCCACACTCACTTTGTATAAGCTTGTACACCAAGGGACACCTTGCCCTGGTCTGTGTTCACGTGTGGCCCCAACTCGTCGAGCAAACTATCAACTTGTGTTTTTCTCAGAGGAGCCATCAAATCAAGGTGCAGAGTACCAGTTCAGGTCTAAAAATCTGCAGCACAACGCGCATTTATTCATCAGTATCTCTTACGATGTTCGCTTTCACACAGCCAATCACTGTCTCCGTCTGTCAAACACTGCACTTTATTTTGGCATCGATGAACTCAACAGATTAACACAGTGATTTGTACTCTGTTGGTGGGTAGCACTGTGTCCTAAAAGTTAAACAGGAATGGACGCACAGTTTGGTCATTCCTATGATCGAACCGGTGTATCGATATACATTCGTTCCAGTTAACATAACCGCATGTATTCAGTACTATTGGTGTCTGTCATCGTGCCATTTGACCGGATGGAAGTAAACTGATCAGCAAACTTGTCAACTTAATAGTTTTGACCTTGGTCACATGTGCGGAAGAGAGACACAGAGAGTCAATGCTTTCGATAAGTTACAAAACATCACAAAGTGCTAGTAAGTAATTTGGACCCACAGGTGAACACATGTCTGTCTGAAGTTAATGCTACGTGCTTCTACGTCTATTTTTCTTAGTTGAACATCACTACTCAGTTACATATTATTTGGGTAGTTCTTGCGTTGGTGCATCGCTAGTTGTCTGCTCAGTGACGATGGATCTGGTATTCCATTACATTACACAATCAAGTATAAGATATTTACAACAAAACTGATAAGAGCAGGGTGGCAACATAATCACATATGGAAAACGCATAGGTTTGAATGCAATCAGAAAGGTAGAGAGGACGAATCAAGTTAACGACTGCATCTGATTTAATAGCTTCGGAACGAGTGTCTAAACCAACAATTAAGCTTGAGTGTGTCAGTTAGCTGTTTTAATACAGGAATGTCCGAAACTTTTTGGTCGTAGGCCCCGACCTCAGGATTTTTGTATTGTGTTACGGCAGATAACCGTAAAAGTCACTTCAAATTCAACCTGATTACATGCACTGACGGTGTTTAATCGAATACTTGATACCCTAACTTTGAGCCACATTTATTGACGTGGTCGAAATATAAAAATGGATAGATAGATATTGCATGCTGCCAACCGAAAAACACTGCACATCACCACAACGCATTTTGACCTTACTTTATAAGATAGAGAGAGCAGGCAGCGAACCCGGGACATTTGGAATGTCCGTTTGGACCTCTACTGCTTTCGACCACCAGGTCACGACGGTGAATCACTGATTGGAGGGTCATTTTGGAACGTTCTCTATTATGAGTGAATCGCGACGTGCAGCCTAAGCATTAAAGTGAAGCTAGACCAATTCTTTTACTGGGAAAATAGCCCCCATTCCACGGAGAGATGATACTGAGTTTGCACAAAGACGAATATATGACGAAAAATTAAAAAAAACCTAACGTGCATTTTAAGAATTTGAGATTATAGCAAAATAACAAGTCAAGATTTATGTAGTGGTGAAGGAAATCAATCTTTACCAAGATGGTGCTTCCTATGACCAAATTGGAACTTAAATTTAGGAATAAAAGATCAATAACAGGTAGATGAACACGAGAGCAAAGCTATAAATATGGATCCAATATTATGCTGGCAAAGTTGTGACATTTTGCGCATTTTTTATCTGCCATCTTCTTTTTACTATGATCATGCTTACGCAGACTTGCCTCAAGTTTTCCTTGAAAAGTAATTCATTAAATATATATCTACACAGTATATTCACCGACGTTGCGGGGCACAGTCCAAATGAGATCGCATTAAACAGTTAATCGTTCACGTTTATACGATTAATCCTAAATGGATATTTGCAATGAATAGCCGTTTTAAGTTTTACAGAGATCCCGAAACTGGGATCAACAAAATTGCGGAAACAACTGAAAAACTAAGTAAAGTGGTACCATGTTTCATGTAACCAACCCCAGAGAATCTGTTTCCATGCAATGTATTCCCTGGATAACTTGCATCCACAATTCCATGTTCCATCCGGCTGTGTCGGTGTAGCACAGTAGCAAGTAAGACACCACATGTTTAACAATGTTTTTAAGCGCCAAATTTATGCATACATTATGATCGACGATGTCTCAGCGCGTTCCTTCATACGGACCATTCAAGTATGGCACAAAGAGCTTCAAATTATTGATATAACCGGTTTTACGTATATTATCTGATAAGACGTTTGTACTTGTCTGACTTATTTTTAATATCAGGCAGATCCTGAATATACCTCATCTATTGAAAACACGTATGTTAAGCTGCAATGTAAATCCTTGGTAAGGGAGAAAAGCAACTTTAATAATAAAAAAATAATAGCGAAAGGATCAGACGATAGATTACGACATCCATCATGTCATTCATTTACGTTCGCGCTTAACTATTCCCACAGCCCTGGTAGGCCCAATGTCGCGTCAAACACGAGACCACCAACAAGCACCTGTAATCATCAATTTTTCTCTTCCCAGTGGTATAGGATGGTTTAGATAAGAGCTTTTGGATGGCGCCACTGATTTCAGCAACTATGATGGAACAAGTTTTGTGGGAATTAGCGACAGTATGAAGAATAACGTCGGTGAAGTCAAGTTTGGCGTGTAGCGGCATAGACAATGTGGTCTAGCAAACTAGTTAGGGATTACGGATTCATACGCATTAGATCACGTGTGGAATCAGTAACTCTAATGGAATACAGTACAAGCTTGGTGAACTCGAGTATAAAGCAACAAGAGACGAATGGGAGACAAATGAGAGAAACGCTGTAAACAGGAAACAGTGTTACATCAATCTGAATCATCTAGTGGAATCCTGGACAGAATAAGGCACATGACAATGTGCAAAACTCTTTCTTCGCTAGCAAATCTGGTATCACGGGTACATAAATTGACGATATATTTGGTGGCGTCCATCGTATTCCATTAGATAAATGAGGACAAAAGTAAAAGACGACGCTCCCATTTAGTTAGCACAAGACGTTGCGCAGTTTAGCGAATTGCAGAAATACCCGGATGTAAGATGTGGTTTCATAATGATAAGTATGCGGTGCATTGCCATTGCTGCACTGTGTCATTCACCTTTGTTTGGAATTACGCATTCGACTTTTACATACTTCAGCTGTCCATCTTTTCAAACATGTCCAAAGCCGCTTTGTTCCCCCTACTTCACAACATACTTTTGACGTGATTATTATTAATGATAATGGGTATGTTTCTCTTTAAGTAATAAGCTGCGTCCATTTTCTGCACAGAGCAAATATGTGTAGGCATTATCATGCGATTGCATGGGCAATATGAATTAGTGGAGAATAAAAACACAGCGATATATTCCTCTTCTGTGCTAGGTACAGTCCAACTGGATATTCCGATACTTGGTGCACTTCATAATCGCATGTAGCAGAGGTTATATTTTTGAAATCTTTCAGTGAAGTCCTCAAGCAATTTAGCGGACATTGTTAATTGGTCGGTTAAATATTTCGGGAAGATTGTGAGGTTTTATAAAAGAATAATAAATGTATATAAATAAAAATTATAAGTGAAGAAATGCGGCCATTACATTGACCACGTCCTGGGCAACTGCTTTCACGCGTGTTATTCTCCTGATGGATTTCACCCACACTTGCATGCCCCATCTGCCTGTGCGTCGGTGTGGCTTTTAAAGTGGGCACAACCTTACTCATGTAACTCATCTTTAGGGCTGTTTTTCTGTGTGTATGATGTTGAAAGTCAAGCCACCTATCCCGTATTAACAGCTTGTATTTTTGAGTAAAGAACTTTTATCGCCAGGGAAGCAAATTCAATGCGCCGTGCATACGTATATTTATTAGCGTTGGAAGCACAAACCTGTCACCTCAGGAGATCGGCCCCAGTCGTGGTCAAAAAGGAATTAAGTAAGAAGTATGTGCGCAAGAAAGACCGACTAATTTGTTCAGGGTAAGTATCGAAAACGGACGACCGCTCGAAGTATCGATATGCCAGACAGTTCTAAAAATAATGTTCGGAATTATCATCATTTGCTTGCGTTCGAAAAGTACAGGAGTTGATAGCGCTGAGTAATGTGACTTGTTCTGCGTTTCTGAACTGTCGCTTCCTGGACAAAAAAGGTAATAGTTAACATTAGAGCAGGAGTGTAAAAAAGGTAGTCATAAGTAAATGAAATTAACTGAATAGTTTGTCTCAATAGTGCGAGACAAGGACCGTGTGGTTAATCCGACCACATTTGTAATTGAATCGTCAGGAGGGGTTTGCTTTCAATTCGTTCTTAGGAGCAGTGTTCACGAAACAATGTTTCAGTGGTTCAACCATGAGGGGCAACCGAGATTTGCAGGGAATGATATGGACAGGTTTCGGTAAACACACCGTATTTTGGTCGTTGATTCCTCCAGACAGCGAAGACAGTTAGTTAGATGTGAAAAATGATGGATTTATAAATAATAATTTGGTAGAGGGGTTGCCTTCGAATCAGAGAATGTTGTCATTTTTTACTTGGCGCTCAGCTCTTCCTCACAAAGTGTTGCTTTACTCACATCTATGCTGAGCATATCCTTCACTTAGACCATTATCAATTCTGTGTTAACTTGAGTACGAAAAACACTTTTTGACTCACACGTTCTCAGGTTATGCGATAGTTTGTTCCACTTAACTGGATAGCGGTTATGAAACACATCTAATCTTAACCTAGTCCGTGCCTTTTTGATTTGTAACCTGCTACCGTTATCCTCATATAGTATTAGAGTAAAGGTTGAAGTACGACCACAATGTCTGAGGTAAAGACCTGTTAGTGGATTATATCAAACATGAAGTTCAGGTTAAGTTTTAGTCTCCATAACCATCAACGGTCATGATAGGTAAGACCACCAGAGTTTCACATTAGACGCTTCGTAAAGTTGAGCAGTACATTTTCTATTCATGCTCTATCACTTTTTCTCTGGTTTGAGTTTGTTAATGAACAATATGCTTGTAGGGGATTAGTATGGGTTTTATACAGGCAGCATTTTGATTCATTTAAAAGTGGTTGATTCTTCCGGATTGAAAAGAGAGATAGATGTGCGGAGCAAGGTGGATTTATTAATTAAAATGTAATAGAGATAGACTGACTTTAAATCAGCGAGTTTTGT